CCCAAAATGAGAGCGGCCAAGCCCTCCTCCCCCTAGTGCCTGAGGGGCTGCACCCTCAGCCATTGCCCCTCACCCTGGCTCCCCTTGGCCTATGAAGAAAGGAAGGGGGGAAAAAGGTAGGAGGGGAAAAAGGAAGAGGGGGGGAAAAGGCCACCCATGCAGCCCCCTTGGCCCCGTACCCTGCTCAGGCGACCACACCGGCTCCTCACTGACCGTCTCCATGATCATATTTGTGGTGGCCTCATCCTTAAAGATGCTCTTGACACGCAGGAGGTCCCCGGTGTAGAGGGCGTTGTGGACGGCAGGGTCCCGGCAGTATTGGGGCCACAGGGAGGGGGTTAGGGGGGCCAGGGTCTCACTGACAAGAACCATCACGTGGCCGATTCCCGAGCCAGGGCTCACTGGCGATCCTTCTGCTCCAGCAGCTCCTGCTGGAGCCGCAGCGAGCGCAGGGCGGAGGAGCTGAAGTTGAAGGTTTCCTGGGCCATGGGGCACCCCAAGAGGGCTGGGGGAGCTGCCTCCTGTGACTCGCGCGGGGGGGTTATAAATAGGGCCTTGCCCCACACACAAATGCTGAATCAAGAGCCCAGGCCAGGCTGCCCTATAAATAATTACCTCCCCTACCCCGGGTGGTAAACAGTGTCATGCTGGCACGGGGGCTGCCAGGGAGTTTAACCTGTTGGTGGGTATGAGATGGGGATGGTCCCATAGGGCTGGGATGGGACCCAGCTGGGCTGGGAGTGCCCCCCAACCCTCCTAGCCCCACAGGGTTTTGGCTGAGGCATCATCATATCCCGGGGGATAACAGCATCTCTTGCCCAGGGGAGGAAAGGGAGGGCAGGGACACCCTCCCCCCACCCGCCAGGGGAAAGGACTGGGGTGCTGCCCCCCCACCCACTCACTCCCCAGCCCAGGGGGAGAGTTGTGAACCCCAACATTTCCCCACCTCCACCCCACCTCTGACAGGAAAAGGCCTGAGGGGAGGAAACTGGGATCAGCCACCCCCCCCTTTCCCAAGGAGGTCTCAGTGCCCCCCCCCCCCCCAACCATCACGTGGCCGATTCCCGAGCCAGGGCTCACTGGCGATCCTTCTGCTCCAGCAGCTCCTGCTGGAGCCGCAGCGAGCGCAGGGCGGAGGAGCTGAAGTTGAAGGTTTCCTGGGCCATGGGGCACCCCAAGAGGGCTGGGGGAGCTGCCTCCTGTGACTCGCGCGGGGGGGTTATAAATAGGGCCTTGCCCCACACACAAATGCTGAATCAAGAGCCCAGGCCAGGCTGCCCTATAAATAATTACCTCCCCTACCCCGGGTGGTAAACAGTGTCATGCTGGCACGGGGGCTGCCAGGGAGTTTAACCTGTTGGTGGGTATGAGATGGGGATGGTCCCATAGGGCTGGGATGGGACCCAGCTGGGCTGGGAGTGCCCCCCAACCCTCCTAGCCCCACAGGGTTTTGGCTGAGGCATCATCATATCCCGGGGGATAACAGCATCTCTTGCCCAGGGGAGGAAAGGGAGGGCAGGGACACCCTCCCCCCACCCGCCAGGGGAAAGGACTGGGGTGCTGCAGCTCAGAACAGAGGGGACAGAGGGGCACTGGTGGCTGTGGGGTCAGAGGGGATGGTGACACACGAGCAGACCAGGCAAAGCAGGGACAATACAGCCCTTTAATGCAGATTTGGGAGCCAAGAGGGCCGGCTTGCCCAGAGGAGGGGGAACAAGTGCTGAGGCTGTGTCCACCCAGGGCTCCCCGTGTCCCCCTGGCTCTCGGCTCCAGAACAAATACAACAGACGGACAGAGAAAGGAGCAGACGGGCAGACGGTGCATTGCCTGCTTCCTTGGTGTCCTCGCTGGGCCACGGTGCAGCCCAGACTGTGCCAGCAGTAACCCATCTCCCCAGCCCCACGGCCATGCCACAGCTTCCCGGGGTCAGTAGCAGTCAGCTTGGGCCGCAGCAGAGAAGAAATCCTCAGGAAGCTCCCCCAGGAGTCCATCCAGGTCATCTGCGTGGGCACAGGGAGGATGAAAAGCACGTTTTACATGTGTATGGAGGAAGAATCAACTCCACATACCAGGGATGAGGTAGGATGAGACCCCCTTTGGCATTACTGGGAAGGGAAGATGCCGCCCAAGCCCAGGACCCGTTTCCCGTAGGACATCGAGCTTTCCCTCCCCACCCAAAGCAGGTCCAACTCACCCATTTCGCAGCCATCAACTCCCACTGGCTCTTTTTGCCCAGGCCCGGGGCTCTGTGGGTGCAGGGAGAAGTCCTCAGGAGACTGCTCTGTGCTGTGGTTGCCCGTCTTCGATTGTCTCCAGCCCCCAGGGGCAAGGACACCCCGGGGGGGCTGTGCGGGGTGGTCCTGGGGTAGCCCAGCCTGGGCAGGGACCTGCAAAACCCAGCAGAGATGAATTGTTGGGGGCCCATGGGAAGATTTATCTGTCCTTCCCAAGCCTCCCCCTTTCCTCTTGAGGGTTCCCGCAGCCCATACCCCCTGGTAATACCCTCAGGGGTTGTCCCAGCATCCCTCTCCCCGCCAGGGCCAGCAGCCCCATACCCTCCCTCACCTCCTGCTGCGCGGGCTGCGAGAAGCTGCCCTCGGGCTCCGGTGGGTAGATCTTGATCAGGTTGTTGGGGGTGACATTGAGGTAGTGGTTGCGGTGGGACGGAGAGAAGACACCCACCTGGGAGGACAGAGCGGTGGGTCGGAACCAGAGCTCTGGCTTCTGCTGGCCTCAGCCTGGGGAGGAGCCCCTCGTCCCATTCCCGTGGGATGTGAGCCCAGCAGCCGGGCATGGTGACCACAGGTTGGTGGCACCTACAGCAGAACCAGCTCCCAAACGTGTTGCTGCTGCCAGATATCTGCCTCCGCATCTCCTACCTGCTTCAGGAGCAGCACCGAGCCTGGCTTGAGCTCGCTCTGTCTCTCTTCCAGCAGCAAACGATGCACCGTGCCCTGCATCTCTCCTGCAGGCGGGAAGGGGGAACCCGTTAGCCACCGGGAGCGATGGCCGGGACCCCCAACCCGACCTGGACACACTTACCAGTTGGGTCCCTGAACACGGCACCAGCATCGACGTTGGTCCTGGTCAGGGTCTTGATCATTACCGCCATGCTGGGGACCTTGTTCTTGGGGAGCTGCTTCAAGGCTGCCTGTACACAGAGACCCTCGTCACACCCATGTCCCCGTGGGGGCCACAGGATGTCTGCAGGCAGCCCCAACTCGGCCCCCTCCCCAACTTTGCTGCCCAGCCCCGGAAACAGCTCCAAGGGGCAAGAGGAGAGGTGGAAATCCAAGTCCCAGGGGCCAGTGCCCTTGCCCAGGGCCCCCCCTCACCTTCCGTAGCACCATGACCACGCTGTAGGTCCTGAGGAAGCAGTTGGGGTCCCTCTCATCCAGCTCCAGCTCCATCTTCATGGCAAGCCAGGGGCCTTTCCCAAAATCCTCTTCCGTGGGTGGCGAGGAGCTGGGCAGCCCCTGGAGTCACAGGACAACCACGGTCACCACCCTGGAGCCAAGCCAGCGTATCCCCCTACCTTGGCAGAGCAAGCGGGGAGGCCCTGGGGACCCCCTTCCAGCATCACCCTCTGAAAGCCTGGGGGCTGCTCGTTGCAGCACCACTGGGATTCATATACAGATCATATACAGGGCCACAAAGATGATCAGAGGGATGGAGCACCTCTCCTATGACGACAGGCTGAGAGCGCTAGGGTTGTTCAGCCTGGAGAAGAGAAGGCTCCGGGGAGACCTTATAACAGCCTTCCAATATCTGAAGGGAGCTACAGGAAAGCTGGGGAGGGACTCTTTGTCAGGAAGTGCAGTGACAGGACAAGGGGTAACGGTTTTAAATTGGAAGAGGGGAGATTTAGATTAGATACCAGGAAGAAATTCTTTCCTGTGAGGGTGGTGAGGCACTGGAACAGGTTGCCCAGAGAAGCTGTGGCTGCCCCATCCCTGGAGGGGTTCAAGGCCAGGCTGGATGGGGCTTTGAGCAACCTGGTCTGGTGGGAAGTGTCCCTGCCCAGGGCAGGGGGTTTGGAACTCGATGATCTCTAAGGTCCCTTCCAACTCTAACCATTCTGTGATTCTATGATCTGCACCAGAGCAGGGATTTACCTCCACCCGCGGCTTGGCCACAGCCCCGTGAGCTGGAGTTTGGGGAGCAGAAACGAGGATCTCCTCCAGCAGCTTCCCAGTGTGCTATTGGGAGACAAGAGAGACACGTCATGGGGTGCTCAGGGGAGGTTCCGAGGCTGCCCCGGAGTTTTGCATCTCTTCACCAGCTGCTCCCAGACCATCCCATCCCCTGCACCCACCTGCTGGGGCAGGATCCCGGCAGGCCCCGGGAACCGGCGGGTCTTCCCCTGCGGTGGGAGTCGGGGGGCGGCCCTGGGTGCTTTGCTGGCCGCTGTCACCAGCTGTACCAGGTGGTTGGTGACCACTGGCGTCTGCAGGTTGGCCAGGGCTGGCCGCAATGACTGCCTCAGCGCGGGCTCCACGCAGCTCATCAAGGCCGGCGGATTGGTGGGGGGCATCTGGGGTGGGGGGCAGCTCTGCCAGGGAGCCTGTACCATGGAGGGCCGGAGCACCTGTGGCCCCACAGAGGAGCTGCTTGCTCCTGGTAGGCATGGGGATGCTTGGAAAGGCCTCGGGGCTGAACCACTGGGAGTGAGGACAGAGCCACATGAGCCACCCGGCTTTCCTAGAGGGGTTGGGGACCTGGGGGGGCAGGCGTTGGCTGTACTGGGCCGTAGCACCAGCTTGGGGGCTGCCTGTGGGGTGGGCATGGGGTGCTGCCTGTCCAACACCCCCCCAGAGCTGGGAGAGACCAGCTCCTCTCCCACCCGCAGCTTCTTGGGGGCTACCAATTCCTGGGGGCTCTCCTGCCCTATGTGTGTCTGGGGGGGCTTCTCCCACTGCCCAGGGGATGGCCCAGCGGCACCAGCCCCCGCTGGTGGCTCGGGACCCTCCAGCTCCATGCAGACGGCCAGGAAGAGATCATTGTCCAGCTCATCCTGGGGGGCTGCCTCCCTGGCCGGGGGTCCTCGGTAGCCCACGGGCTGCTCCCCTTGCCCGGCGAGGGGCCGTAGACTGGGGGGTTTACTGGGACGGTGACCCAGCTGGCGTCCCAGCAGGCGGAGGGGCTGCTGGCTAGGGGCTGGGACTGGCAGGTGAACTGGTGAGGGGATCGCGAACTGGTTCTCTGCGTCCTCCACGGCGGAGAGGAAATCCTGCAGGAGGAGAATCATAGAATCATTCAGGTTGGAAAAAACCCTTGCGATCATCGAGTCCAACCATCAACCCTGCTCTACGAAGGTCTCCACTACCCCATATCCCCCAACACCACATCTAAACAACTCTTAAACTCATCCAAGGACAGTGACTCAACCCCCTGCCTGGGCAGCGTATTCCAGTCTCTGACCACTCTTTCTGTGAAGAATTTCTTCCTAACGTCCAGTCTAAACCTACCCTGTTGCAGCTTGAATCCATTCCTTCTTGTTCTACTGCTAATTGCTTGTGAGAAGAGACCAGCACCGACCTCTCTACAATGTCCTTTCAAGTAGCTGTAGAGAGTGATGAGGTCTCCCCTCAGCCTCCTCTTCCTCAAACTGAACAGTCCCAGCTCCCTCAATCGCTCTTTGTAAGATTTATTCTCCCTTCCCCAGCTTCGTTGCCCTCCTCTGCACCCGCTCCAGCGCCTCGAGATCTCTCTCGGATTGAGGTGCCCAAAACTGGACACGACACTCCAGGTGTGGCCTCCCCAGTGCTGAGAACAGGGGGACAATCACCTCCCTACTCCTGCTGGTCCCACTATTTCTAATACAGGCCAGGATGCCATTGGCTTTCTTGGTCACCTGAGCACACTGCTGGCTCATATTCAGCCACTTGTCAATTAGAACCCCCAAGTCCTTTTCCACCAGGCAGCTCCAGCCACCCTTCCCCAAGCCCGTAGCGATGCAGGGGGTTGGTGACCCAAGGGCAGGACCTGGCACTTGGCCTTGTTGAAGCTCATACCATTAACGTTGGCCCATCCATCCAACCTGTCTAAGAGAAGGCACTGGGCAGTCAGACAGTACCGTGTGTGTCCCCCCTGTCCCTCCCATCTCTGTCCCCCTGCCCCTGTTCCCCCCCCATCCCCATCCCACCCTGCAGAGCCACCCGCGGGGTAACCAAACCAGCACAAGAACCCTGCCTCAATGGGCCCTGTGGATTAAAGTCACCTCTTAACGAGTTAACACTGCTTAATGAGTTACCACCACCCGCACCCACCAGCCGGGAGGGTTAAATCAACCCCCCAACGGGGCAGCTTAGGGTGTCGGGGTGCTGTGGGCCCCAGCGGTGTCTAAGAGAAGGCACTGGGCAGTCAGACAGTACCGTGTGTGTCCCCCCTGTCCCTCCCATCTCTGTCCCCCTGCCCCTGTTCCCCCCCCATCCCCATCCCACCCTGCAGAGCCACCCGCGGGGTAACCAAACCAGCACAAGAACCCTGCCTCAATGGGCCCTGTGGATTAAAGTCACCTCTTAACGAGTTAACACTGCTTAATGAGTTACCACCACCCGCACCCACCAGCCGGGAGGGTTAAATCAACCCCCCAACGGGGCAGCTTAGGGTGTCGGGGTGCTGTGGGCCCCAGCGGTGTCCCCATGGCTGTCACCCTCCCAGCCTGTCCCGTCCCTCACCTCATCCGCCAGGTCCCCGTCGGTCCCGAACAGCTTCTGGAGGCGGCAGGACTGCGGGGAGGGGGGCAAAGTAG